TGGGACTTGGGCCCCGGGGTGAGGGGGGTGGGGGTGGGGGTGGCGGTGGTGGGCAGGCTGTGCGTGGGTGGGGGCAGATCTGTCCCTGCCCCTCAGTTTTGCTGTGAACCTAAAACTTCTCTGAAAAACAGAGTCTCTATTTTTTTTCTTGTTTAGAGAGAGAGAGAGAGTGGGACAGAGAGAAACATCGATGTTAGAGAAACACATGGATTGGGCGCCTCCTGCATGAGCCCCGACCAGGGCCGGGCGGGGAGGAGCCTGCAACCGAGGTACATGCCCTTGACCGGAATCGAACCCGGGACACTTCTGTCTGCAGGCCGACGCTCTAACCACTGGGCAACCGGCCAGGGCACAAAGTCTATTTCTAAAATATTTAGTAGCCCTGACCGGTTTGGCTCAGCGGATAGAGCGTCAGCCTGCGGACTCAAGGGTCCCAGGTTCGATTCCGGTCAAGGGCATGTACCTTGGTTGCGGGCACATCCCCAGTGGGGAGTGTGCAGGAGGCAGCTGATCAATGTTTCTAACTCTCTATCCCTCTCCCTTCCTCTCTGTAAAAAAAATCAATAAAATATATTTTTTTAAAAATGTAGTGGAGCCCTAGCTTGTTTGGCTCAATGGATAGAGTGTTGGCCTGTGGACTGAAAGGTCCCCAGTGGGGGGCGTGCAGGAGGCAGCCGATCAGTGATTCTCTCTCATCATTGATGTTTCTCTCTCTCTCTCCCTCTCGCTTCCTCTCTGAAACCAATAAAAATACATATTTTTTAAAAAATGTAGTGGAGCCAGCACCTGACCACTTGGAGTCCATTGATTGAAGCTTGAGGCACATGTGGGGGTGACCGGGGGGTTCCTAAGTGTTTGTGCCCTTTAGCCCAGAACTGCCATGCAGACATCCCCGGCCGGGTGTGGTCAGAGCAGAGATCTGAAATGTTATCTATGCAAAACCTGTGGCCACCAGGCCTGGAGCGATGAGGTGTGAGCAGGAGGGCAACAGGGTGGGCTCCGGATGTGGGTGGCAGATGGAGCCCTGAGTCACGGAGGGTGGGCAGTGCCCAGAGGTGGGCTCAAGAGGGGACCCCATGCTCAAGATGGGCCTGGCCCAGGACTGTTCCCTTGCTGCACCCCTTGGCTCCTGGCTGAACCCCCTCCCACCTCCCGGTTCCTGGGGAGAGGGATGGGCAAGGGCTATACATATATATATTTCTTGATTCCAGAGAGGAAGGGAGAGGGAGAGAGAGAAACATCAATGATGAGAGAGATTCACTGATCGGCTGCCTCCTGCACGCCCCACACTGGGGATCGAGCCCACAACCCAGGCATGTGCCCTGACCGGGAATTGAACCGTGACCTCCTGGTTCATAGGTCGACGCTCAATCACTGAGCCACTGGGCGGGCACGGGCACAGGCTTTTAAAGCTCTGCTGGGTTCCCTGGAGGGAGTGGGGTGAAGTCCCTGGTCCATGAAGCCTCCAGATCCCAGAGCCCACACCTGCCCTGGACATGGCCACACGCACCAGGCGTCAGCACTGAGCTCAGCACCCAGCAGCCTGGGAACCCGTCTGTGGGTCAGGACGCGCACCCACACACGCTTCCTGGGAGTCAGGAGGAGCCTCCTCCCGGCTTGGCCAACCAGGCGCTTGGTGGGGTTCCAGCAGCTTGGGTGCCCCCACACCCTGTGGGCTGTAGCTGCAGACACTGCCCATGGCTTAGAGCCCCAGGGAGCCGGTCACTCCTCCCAACCTCGGGATCCTGTGGGGAGGGCTGGAGAGGAGAGGCCAGGCACTGGTTGAAGCTCGAGGCACCTGAAGCCTGGACCAGAGGCCTGTCTGGTTGCAACTCTGACTGCTGAGCGGTCCAGCCCAGATCTGCTCAGACAAACCGGGCCATCCTGGAGGCTGCGGAGGGCTAGCCTCAGTTTCCCCTTCAGTGGACTGAAGGGTTCTGGGGCCCACCTCCTCCGGGGAGCCCGCCTAGATTGCTCAGCCTCATTTCCCAGCCCTTCAGCTGAGGCTCAGGCACAGGGAGCAGGTGAAGGCTGCTGGGGGTGCTGGGGTGGAGCAGTGGGGTCTTGGGAATGTGCCCCGGGCGCACCCCCAGGCTGGGGTGTGGCTGTGACATGGGCAGAGCCAGGAGACCGTGTTCAAGCCCCTCCAAGCTCAGCATGGGGCAGCGGTTCCTTTTCTGAGGGAAATGATAGACTCAGCTCTTGTTCCCAAGTCCAGGATGCATGAGCCCACCTCAGAGAGGGGTCTCTAGGGCAAGCATGTCAAACTCGCGGCCCGTGGGCCACATGCAGCCCACAACAAACATTTCTGCGGCCCAGCCAATATACCGGTATGTAAGAAACGTTTTAATAAAAATTTCATAACTTGCCCTGACTGGTTTGGCTAGTGGATAGAGCGTCGGCCCGGGTTCGATTCCAGCCAAGGGCATGTACCTTGGTTGCGGGCACATCCCCAGTAGGGGGTGTGCAGGAGGCAGCTGATCGATGTTTCTCTCTCATTGATGTTTCTAACTCTCTATCCCTCTCCCTTCCTCTCTGTAAAAAATCAATAAAATATATATTTTTTAAAAA